GAGTGTGGGTGTGTGTGTGTGAGAGAGAGAGAGTGTGGGTGTGTGTGAGAGAGAGAGTGAGAGTGTGGGTGTGTGTGAGAGAGCGTGTGTGTGAGAGAGTGTGTGTGTGTGTGAGAGAGAGAGTGTGTGAGTGTGTGTGTGTGTGTGTGTGTGAGAGAGTGTGTGTGTGTGTGAGTGTGTGTGTGTGTGTGTGTGTTTGAGAGTGTGTGTGTGTGTGTGTGTTTAAAGCAGCGACACACACTCAACTTGGCCCTCTATTCACTGTTGTTTAGACGTCTGCGCATCTCAGCAGTCAATGTTCACAGCATTCATCCAGCATTCAACTTTCTGACAGAGTAAACAAGCTGCTGTTCTTGCTGTTACATGGAGAAAATCTAGGGCCTGTTCCATAAAACAAGTTTACCAAATAAGCCAAACATATTTTATTGGACTGTCCCGCTTTTAATGCATGGAGAAAACTCTTTTATGAAGTGAACTCCTTTAAAGTGTTTAGTATAATATTGGCAGAAAAAGTTTTAGAATTTTTATCATATGTTAATGTAAAAATTATTGTGTAATATAACCTGTTTATTTGTTTTCTGGTTTTTATTAGTACTGTGTTCAAAATATCGATACGACGACGTATCGTCAGAGATTTGACGATACGAGTATCGATACAGCTGGCCCTGTATTGATACTGTGGCACGTGTGCAGCAGTGGACCGCGCTTAATTTGTTAAAAATTTTACAACGTTTAAAATCGAGTAGAAAATTGCAAGGTTTCTAAAAAAGAATGAGTAGAGCATATATATATATATATATATATGTGCATGTTCGGCTAGAGTCGCTTTGAACTCGTGCATCTTCGGAAGAGGAGCTGCGCGGAAAGTTACAAAAAATGCCGTGCACACCGCCACGCGAAACGACGTTGTGCGCACTCAAAGCGAACTTGCGGACGCGGCGAGTATAAATCAGCCTTTAAGCGTGTGCGCTAGATACAGTGAAGACAGCACGTTAGTTTAGAACTCTTCTAAAAAAAATTTTTTTATTGTAGAGCGTGTGTTAATTTGTGCAATGATAACCTACCAGCAATGTAAATTATTTTAAAAATATATTAGAATGAGTACATTACAATATAAATGTATTAGAACGAGTACATTATTATTTATGGGCTTAAAAACAAGATGCAAACAATCAGAATATTGTACCTGGTGGGGAGTGCACAATGTAAACATGAAACATATGCCATTATAGTACTGTGATACAGTTATGGAGGCCCTTCATAATGCAGAGCTCAGCTGCTGCTCTGCCAATAGTTAGAAATGGCACTATAGTGTCCAGTGTTTAATAAACAGCTGTTTTACTAAATTCTGCTGAGGTGAAATTCAGTGCAGTCATGTATCGTGATACGTATCGTATCGTGGCCTCTGTATCGTGATACGTATCGTATCGTGACTTTGCTGGCGATACACAGCCCTAGTTTTTATTGTATTTGTTATATTTGTATTTTTTAATTGTTTTTGCCATGAAAATAGCCTAAGATGCTGACATGGCATTAAATACAAATATACTACTACTACTACGAAATAAGCCTGGCTTAGTTCAGTTAGTCTGACTTATTTTGAACCAAATCAGCTGACAATAAGTCAGACTAACTGAAATAAACCTGGCTTATTTGGTCAATTAGTTTTATGAAACAGGCCCGTGATGAAGTGCATGTTTGGTGTTTTGCATAGTTTGTGAAGTTTTATTATTATTATTTGTTGTTTTTGTTATTAGGCAGCGTTATTTTAGTATTGAGATACTCTTATAGTTTTCATTAACATTTTTAATCATTTTTTTACTTCAAATTTTATTTTTTTTTTTTATTGTAGAGAGTGTGTTAATTTGTGCGATGATAACCTACCAGCAATGTAAATTATTTTAAAAATATATTAGAATGAGTACATTACAATATAAATGTATTAGAACGAGTACATTATTATTTATGGGCTTAAAAACAAGATGCAAACAATCAGAATATTGTACCTGGTGGGGAGTGCACAATGTAAACATGAAACATATGCCATTATAGTACTGTGATACAGTTATGGAGGCCCTTCATAATGCAGAGCTCAGCTGCTGCTCTGCCAATAGTTAGAAATGGCACTATAGTGTCCAGTGTTTAATAAACAGCTGTTTTACTAAATTCTGCTGAGGTGAAATTCAGTGCAGTCATGTATCGTGATACGTATCGTATCGTGGCCTCTGTATCGTGATACGTATCGTATCGTGACTTTGCTGGCGATACACAGCCCTAGTTTTTATTGTATTTGTTATATTTGTATTTTTTAATTGTTTTTGCCATGAAAATAGCCTAAGATGCTGACATGGCATTAAATACAAATATACTACTACTACTACGAAATAAGCCTGGCTTAGTTCAGTTAGTCTGACTTATTTTGAACCAAATCAGCTGACAATAAGTCAGACTAACTGAAATAAACCTGGCTTATTTGGTCAATTAGTTTTATGAAACAGGCCCGTGATGAAGTGCATGTTTGGTGTTTTGCATAGTTTGTGAAGTTTTATTATTATTATTTGTTGTTTTTGTTATTAGGCAGCGTTATTTTAGTATTGAGATACTCTTATAGTTTTCATTAACATTTTTAATCATTTTTTTACTTCAAATTTTATTTAAAAAAATTCTTAGTTTTTTCTCTCTTTATTTTTAGTAGTTTTTGTTTTAAAATATTTAGTTATTTTAAAATGTATAGTTTTTAATTCATTCAATTTCAGTTTTAGTACACCAAGTTACCAAATAAAAATGATAAATGTTGCCTTCTGCTGTGCCTATATATATACATAAATGTTACCTATATATATATAATTTTTATTTCAGTTAATATGTATTTCAAGTAACAAAGTAAATGTTAAATAATTGTATTTTTAGTTAACTTTAATAACCCTGTTTTTATGTGTTCTGGTCAGAGAGGAATTTCTTTTTCCAGAAAATGCTAGTTGGACTAAAACTTACTGACACGGGGTATAAAAATTTCCCCCAAAAGCTTTTTATAATTTTTGTAGGGATTCACAGAATTTTCGAATTATTAATCTTTGTTAATGTTAGTTAATGAGAATAGAGTTATTCACTGTTAGTTCATGTTAATTCAGAGTGCATTAACTGTTAACAAGCACAACTGTTGATTTTAATAATGCATTAGTAAATGTTGAAATTAACATTAACTAAGATTAATAAATGTTGAAGAACTATTGTTCATTCTTAGTTCATGTTAACTAAAGTAGTTAACTAATGAACCTTATTGTAAAGTGTTACCAATATTAATATAAATTCTGTCCAGTTTTATTGT